ACTGCTTCCGAAACCGTTGCTGCTCCCGAAGCCATTGAAATACCATTGGTACTTCTGAGACCATTGCTAGTTCCAAAACGATCATCGCTTCCAAAGGCGTTTCTGTTCCCAAACCGTCGGAAAACGAGCGTCTTAACTTCGGTATCGTAGCACTGTATTTCAAGAGAAGATGATCCGAACACTGATTTATTGCTGTTGATATCATTATTATCACTTGCCGTCTTTAATAAGGACTAATATATTCCAGAACTATACATTCATATACATAAAGAGCGAGCGAACGAATGAAAGATTAATAGAGAGAAAATAAAATCAATGATATATACATATACATGTGTGAAAATGTATTATGAAGTCGCGATATTTTCTGGTGGTTCCAAAATCTCGTTTCATATATCGTTTGATACATCTATCTATCTATCTCTCTATATATGTATATACATATATGTATATATATTATTTTTTCTTTATTTTCAGTGTTTTTCTTTTTTGTTCTTGATTCCCCTTTTACGTTTTTCAATAAAGACAGGTAATGACTTCATTAGTGTCTTAAGTCACACATATGTGTACATGCGTGTACATGTTTGTATGAATGCTAAATAGGAATATATATGTATATATACACATGTATATGCATATATGTGTGTGCATAAAATAATTGCATTCATACATATTTAGCTATCAGTATATATACAGCAGATCATCTCAAAATTCCTGAATTACACATGTATTTATATGAGATATTTGAAAGAAGGATGAAACTAATACACGCAAAGTTCATTATGTGATTTATTTAGATTGTCGGATTTTTACAAAAATATATTTAAAAGATTTATCATCACTGGCTTTTCTGTAAAAATGAATTCGCTAAGGTGTTGTGTACAGACTGGGCAGCGATAATGCGTGACCAATACCGGAAAGGCTGCTGATTCCAGCACCACTGACACTGCCGCTGCTGAATCCGCCATTAGTTCCTTCTGCACTACTCGATGTGAAATCAATAGCACTTCCGAAACCATTACTTCCTGCGAAACCACCGTTGATTCCGAAACCATTGCTACTTCCAAGACTACCCACGGTTCCAAAACTACTGCTGCTTTCGAAACCATTGCTACTTCCGAAACCACTGCTGCTTCCGAAACCACTGCTGCTTCCGAAACCATTGCTGCTTCCGAAACCATTGCTGCTTCTGAAGCCAGTGCTGCTTCCAAGACTACCCACGGTTCCAAAACTACTGCCACTTCCGAAACCATTGCTGCTTCCGAAACCACTGCTGCTTCCGAAACCATTGCTACTCCCGAAGCCAGTGCTGCTTCCAAGACCTACAGCTCCAAAATTAATGCCATTTCCGAAACCACTGCTGCCTCCGGAACCACCGTTGACTCCGAAACCATTGCTGCTGCCTAGACCACCACTGGTTCCGAAACCATTGCTACTTCCGAACCCAGTGCTCACACCGTTGCTAATTCCGAAACCACCGTTTACTCCAGCCACTCCGCTACCGAAACCTTCAGAACCAACCACCTGACCACTGCCAGCTGAAGCCGCATCCAAAGCAGTCCGCAGATCCACGCCGCTTGGAAGAGTTGGATTCTCTCCTTCAGCGTAGTTGACGAAGTACACCTCGGGATCGGAAGGTGGCGGTGCTGGAACTTCGATCACCTTTTGTCCCTCTTCAGACTGTTTATTGAGGATGTACACGACGTGTTCCTGCTGGGGAGGAGGTACAACGATTGGATCTGGCCCTTGTCCTCCTTCGGGAGTTCGGATGAACAATAGGTTGGTCTCCACTGTCGGTGCAGGGATGAAAGGTGGAGGACCTGTTGGCGTGGGAGTTCTTGGTACATCATACAAAAACACACGACGGTTGACTCTTGGAGTTACGCATCTACCGTCCACATGTAACACCTGTCCGTTGCTACATCTTGGTGAGAGTAAAGATGGACCGGAAGGGGGAGTCAAGTTATAGCCCTGAGGCTTGGCGATGACACTGGCAATCGCAGATAAGATTAGAACCTGAAAATGTATGTTTAATGAAATACCTAATAAGTAATAAAACGGATTATTATGCGACATATCTTTTCTCGCTTACTTTTCGAACTGTACAATTCATAAACCATGCTTACCAGAACTTTCATCGTGGTGATCTATACCATCGGTTGCCGAGCGTTCCTTTATATACAAATAATGATAAGCTGCCCATGCCACTCTTACTTTCCAAACCTAATACATTCACATTCGCTTCCTTTCAATGGTATTCATTTCATTCGTGTAAGGGTAATGGAATGCTTCTCGTGTATGTCTCTCTGTGTGTATATATGTGTGTGTGCGTTCGCGTGCGTATGTGTGTGTGTGTGTATGTGTGTGTGTGTGTTTACATGTATGTATGTATATAATAAATTTTTATCAACTTATATATGGAAGGAAACCATCTGGGTCTGGGTATATGTGTGTCTGTGCTATAACACTAACAAGTTTTGTTAGGTGTTAGACTATTTTC